TATCCAGAATGGTCTAAAACAAGGAGATGCATTATTGCCACTCCTTTTCAACTTTGCTTTAGAATATGCCATTAGGAAGGTAAAAGGAAACCAGGTGGGACTGAAATTAAAGGGGACACATCAGCTGTTTGCATTTGCCTATGTTGTCAATCTTCTGGTTGTTAGTGTAGATACCATAAAGAAAAACACACAAACTTTAAATGATGCAAGTAAAGAGGTTGGTCTAGAAGTAAACACTGAAAAAACTGTATGTTGCTGTCTTGTCACCAAAATGCAGGGCAAAATCATGATATAAAGATAGGAAACAGATGTTTTGAAAATGTGGCACAATTCAGATATTTGGGAACAACGATAACAGATCGAAACCTGATTCAGGAGGAAATTAAGAGGAGATTGAACCTGGGTAATGCTTGCTACCATTCAGTCCAGAACCTTTTGTCTTCTCGTCTGTTGTCCAAAAACATAAAAATTAGAATATACAAAACTATAGTTTTACCTTTGGTTCTGTATAGGTGTGAAACTTGGGCTCTGACATTAAGGGAGGAACATAGACTAAGGGTGTTTGAGAATGGGGTATTGAGAATATTTGGACCTAAGAGAGATGAAGTGACAGGAGTTTGGAGAAAACTGCATAATGAGGAGCTTCATAACTTGTACTCTTCTCCAAGTATAATTAGAATGATCAAGTCAAGGAGGATGAGGTGGGCAGGGCATGTAGCACGAATGGTGGAGATGAATGCGTATAGGATATTGTGGGAAAGCCAGAAGTAAAGAGCCCCCTGGGAGACCAAGGCATAGGTGGGTGAACAATATTCAAATGGATCTTAGAGAGATAGGATGGGATGGTATTGATTGGATTGATCTGGCTCAGGATAGGGACCAATGTAGTGCTCTTGTGAACATGGTAATGAACCTTCGGGTTCCATAAAATGCTGGGAAATTCTTGAGTAACTGCAGAATTGGCAGCTCCTCCAGAAGGGCTAAGCTCCATGAGTAAATAAGTAAGTAAGTATTGCAGTCATTAATAGAGAGTTTCTTAATTTGCTTCATTTGAGTTCACACTTCAACATGATTAAGCGATCAGTAACAGAAAATGGCTGTGTGCCATTGGACGCATTATAAGCTACACACGATGGTGTAAAATCTGAAATAAAATATGAAACTAAGCAAAATATTTTACATATTTTTACCCTTTGAGTTGGTTTGGCCTGTGCACACATCTCGCCTTTGTTTTATAGAAAAGTAGCTTTGATTTATGTGTTTTAAATTTATGTGATAATTTTGAGGAACTCATTTCCTGCATAACTTACAAAGTGACTGTATGTGTTAATTACATAATAATATTGACAGAGTGTCTAGTATGAAAACAACTGTATATAAGTTCAACTAACTTCCTCTTTTTTTTTTAAAATACTTTTTTTCATTTTGTTATTATATTGTTTTCATTACATGTTGACAGTTGAATCCAGAAAATAATGTATTTAAGCCTTACATGCAGAAAATTTAATGCAAAAGATTGACCTGGAGGAATAAATACAACTTTGATGAGATTCCACAGTGCACTTCTGGAAATTGAAGCAGTAAAAATTGCCTTATAATCATTCTTCATACCATGAAGCTGTAAATGATCAGTCAGTTTTTATTACTTATTTGTCAGCACAACATTTGGCACTTTGAAAATGGCTTGTATTAAGACAGTTTTGTGAATGGTCTGTGTGGATAGTACTGTAGATAAAACCAAAGTTGTGATAACATAACAAATGTGAGCAATATACGAGGGGGTACCCAAAAGAAACCGAACTTATTTTTTTTAACTTATTTATTCAAATTTTAAGCACAAACCTTCAATCCCCTTCAAAGTACTCCCACTTACACTAATACACTTGTCTAGTCTTTTATTCCATTTTTCAAAACATTGTTTAAATTCATCTTTTGAGATGCTTGACAGCGCCTCCGTCGTTTTTTCCTTTCATGTCTCTTTTCATTCGAGGAAACAAAAAAAAAGTCATACGGGGCAAGGTCGGGTGAGTATGGAGGGTGAGGAACAGGGGTCCTACCATTTTTGGTCAAGAATTGTCGTACAGACAGGGCTGTGTGAGCAGGGGCATTGTCATGATGGAAAAACCAGTCACCCGACTCCCACAAATCTGGCCGCTGAGCTCCAAGTCACTCCCAACAGCTCCACAATTTCTTCAGTGGTCCGTCGTCGATCTTCCTTGATGATTTCACGAATTTTTTCAACATTTTCATGTGTTCGGGCCGTGGAAGGACGACCAGAACGAGGTTTGTCATCAATTGACATTTCACCATTTTTGAAACGGGAAAACCACTCAAACACTTGAGTTTTCCCCATAGCATCGTCCTTGTACGCCGTTTTTAACATTTCAAGAGTTTCTGTTCCACTTTTCCCGAGCAAAAAGCAGAATTTCACTGCCGCACACTGTTCACGAAAATCAGCCATTGCAAAAAGACGATCACACAAAACAGTTGTCACTATAAACTCTGCTGAAACTAGTCCTTATCTTCTGAAGCAACGGTAGTTGGCTTATCAACTCAGGAATGTTAGATCTATGCACTCATAGCGGCAAAACGCGGTACTACAAAAGCTCTGCCCACAAAAAAAATTAGTTCGGTTTCTTTTGAGTACCCCATCGTATATGATGCTGACAGTGATCCCATGCAGATAGAAATGTGTGTAAAAAAGGCAAAACAATAAAATTATAGTGCAATAGGAGTAAATTATTGAAAAATGTGTCAGAGCCTTGAGATATAATAATCTGACCCCATATGTACCATCTTGTGATGAATTTGGCCTAATGATTTTTTCAACTTACAATCCATTTTTGGAAACTCATCAAGTTGTAAGTCTGAGGTATGACTGTACAAGTAATGGTTGCAATATATGAAGTCTAAGCAGATAATTGTTTGTCCAGCTGGAGGAACGATGCAAGATAGAAATGGAAAACCATAAACAGCTATTGGACAAAGAATACGAGTCTCTACTGCAACAGTTCAGCAAAGAGCTGGAGAAGCTGCAGATAAGACATCAGCAGGAGCTTGAAAAGAAGGTTTGTCCTCCAATACTGACAGATTTTCTTATAAATTGCTGTAAGCAACTATTTGCCACTCACCCATGTGGAGTACAAAAGGTATTGTTATAAAATGGCAGGAAATTAGTCAAGAATTTACTGCATTTGTCTATGTACAGATCACACATTTTATTTTAAAGCTTTCTGTAGTTACAGTGTGGCACTCTTCTTATCAGGTGTGTGTGTGTGTGTGTGTGTATATCCCTATCCTGGACTGCTGCAGTTCATATTGTCACGTGTTGGGTGTATAACGCGACAAATAACTTCACGCCTTATTGGATATAACGAATTTTATTTCACACTCGCTCATACAATCTCACAGCTACTGCTATCTGCAGTATTACAATTGCTTGGCCTACAACTGACTGGTTGACTCATAACTCACTCAACTCATAGGCTGCTGCTTTGAGAACTGTCTTCAGCGGCTGTGTAGTTCCCTTATAAACCCTCAGCCGGACAATGGGAAAACAGTTACATAATAGGCACCACTGTTGCCTGACACAACCACTGTTTACCCACTTTGCTTAGCAACCGCTGTTTACTCGCTTTGCATAGTGACCAGCGTGCTCGGACTCGGCTCACTTTGGCTCCGCTCAGCACGTCACGGCTGGTGGGTAGGGAGGGGCTTCATCCATAGTGCAACACGTCACAATATCATTAAAAAAGGTAAAGTTGTCCTTGTGCTTAACTAATTAAGCACAGTGTCATGAAGGCATATTGGGGAGTGGATGTATAGTTCCACATTTTCTTGACCTCAGCACTAACTGGAGGTGAGTGGTCAGTTTCATGCACTGGACGCTGGTACCCATTGGATAGGAGGTTCAGTGGACCCCAGAGTCAGTCTGGACAATGTGGAGGAGAGAAAATTCTTGATCCTATTGGGACTTGAACTCCGATCCCGTGGTTGTCCAGCCTGTAGCCAGTCGCTATACCGACTGCATTATCCCAGCTCATTCATATCATTTTACCTCACCTTGTTTTTCCTGAAATACATATCATTATTTCTTTCTTTTATTTTTTGGTGTTCCAAATTGCCTCTTTACATTTGGTTTCCCCATTGGAATTTTTTAACTTTTTTTTTGCCATGGAACTATAAACACGTTAAGGAAAGCAAGATGGGTGTGTAAAGAAATTTGTGCATGATCATATAGCTGACTTGAGGGCTCTGCTTCATGTTCCTGCAATCCAGTCAAGACATCTAGTATTGAAAAAAATACATGGATTTCAAGAAGCTTCCTACATGGGCTTCTTTCTTGAAAATGCTGACAGCTGATAACACAGACAACTATTGGCAGATCCCACCTACCAGCAGAATTAATACTACTTGCCACTGGCACATGCAGTGCTGTGTTATCACACAGCACTATAATGATTGTATAATCTAGAGAGAAGTGTATGTTATCAGTTCAGTTTGTGTCACTGTGGAAAACATTTACTTTGTATGCATAGTCATATGAATTTTTCATCGGTATTGTTTGGAGTTTCCTGGCTACAGATCCAGAGGTCCGGGTTCTATTCCCGGCGTTACCAGACTTTTTCTGAGAAGTAGTGGGTCTGGAACAGGTTCCACTCAGCCTCATGATGATAATTGAGGAGCTATTTCAAGGAAATAGCGGCTCCGGTCTAGAAAACCGAAATTAACGGCCGTGGGGATTCGTTGCGCTGACCACGCGACACCCTCTATCTGCAAAGGTTGGCACTAAACTTTGCTGACATGCAGCGGTCACTCGGTTGGTATGGTTTGCATGTAGACTGAAATCACAGAGTTTGTTTGTTTTTTGTTTTATTGTTGGCAGTAAACACTCTTTGATAGGTCTGTGTATTTTGTATCATAGCTGAAGCAAAACCTGACGGCTGAGAAGAAACTGCAAAAGGAAATATGCGGGCGACAAGAGCAAGATCGTAAGGCATTTGAAACACAAAAGAAGAAGGAGTACAAAGCAAATAAGGAAAGGTGGAAACGGGAGCTAAGCCTAGATGAATCAACCCCTAAGAGGCAACGGGATGCCACATTACAGTAAGTCTGTAACAGTTTGTACTGTTACTTACAGAGGGTAAACTGGTAATGCAAGTAAGCAGATAAGTTCTGTCGTCCTGTATGCATTAGAAACATTCGTAGAATTTGGATGTTGTAATGACATTGTATGAGCTTTCTTAAGAGATTCCTTAAAATATTATATGCATATATTCTCTTTCTAATATAACTCAGACCAAATATTTTAGAACCATACTTGACAAACTGCATAGCATGAAGTCCTTGAGATTCTGAGAGTCACTTAGTTTTCAACACATTCTGTGCTTTTTGGAACCTGAAGATTCAGCACCATATGAAGAAGACTGGACCCTGTTCAGACATCTCTTGTGTATTGTATATCCCACCCATCTTGTCCTTGATTTGATAATCCTAATGATGACTCTGTGGCCTGTAGTCTGCCAGTGACCTATACTGACTGAGAGACTGCCACTTGTCAGCAAAGTTAGTGCCAACTTTCGCAGATAAAGGATGTCCCATGGTCGGTGCAACGGATCCCCACAGCCGTTAATCCCGGTTTTCTATACTGGAGCCACTATTTCCTTGAAATAGCTCCTCAGCTATCCTCACGAGGCTGAGTGGACCACATTCCAGACCCACTACTTCTCAGAAAATGGTAGTGCTGGGAATTGAACCTGGACCTTTGGATCTGTAGCCAGGAACTCTGACCACTAGACCACGGAAGTTGTCGTCCTAATGATGAAGAGTGGAAATTAGGAAATTCATTGTGTTCTTTTTCAGTTTAAGTACAAGTTGGTTTGAAAGCTTATGACCCTCTGTGCCCTTGTTTAAAGTGTGGAGTACTTTATTTAAATGTGATATATTTTTTTTCAAATACAAGTACCAACAGTTCTGATTTAATTTTCACTTGCAGAAAGTTTGGTTCCAAATACTGCCCCCTGCTGCATAGGCCAGAATAGCGATCATCTAACATACAATTTTCCTTCTTTTATTTCCTAGAACTTTTGAAATGAAAGGGGGGGTGGGGCAAACATGAATGAATTGTATGAGAATGACTGACTAGTAGTGCTTGATGAAAACAGATATCAAGCAAGATGAAAGACAGCTGTAAGACATACAGTTGTTGGACAGTTGTTACAGTCCATAACATTTGCACAGTAAATGCTGTAATGTGCTTCTTGCAGCATCATATCTGTATATTTATGACCAACACTGCAGGTACAAAACCCCTGAGATTGAACACCATTAATATTGTCACGTGTTGGGTGTGTAACGCGACAAATAACTTCACGCCGTATTGGATGTAGCGAATTTTAATTCACATTCGCACTTACAATCACCCAAATTACAGATTCACAATTACTGCTATCTGCAGTATCACAAATGCTGGTAACTCGTAACTCGCGAACTGATTCGGAACTAACTCAGAGGTAGCTTGAGGACTAACTCGTAGGTAGCTGCCTTGAGAACTGTTGATAACACACTCACTCGACTACTACTGAACTCGGCGACAGCCACATTACAACTAACTCGCAAGCAGCGCAGTTCTCTTATGTAGGGGCCGTGTGGGCCTGTTATGTGCCACGTCACAGTAGGAAGCGGTGCCACGTCACCGTGTTTGCGTATAGCCTAGCAACGCTGTTACCTCATACCATCTTACGTTACCGTGCAGAGGGGGGGAGGGGAGCGCTGACTCATCCGCCACGTCACTGTGGCCTGAGTTGCCACGTTGCTGCTGGGTAGAGAGGGGTTCTCCGTTGCGCAACATGTCACAATATCAAAGGTTGCTTATTGTACATCCAGTGCCAGTTTATCCAACTTCCTTCCTCACAACCAGTCTCCCTAAGATTAATCATATTTTTACCCTACCTCCTCAGCCTTCCAAGTAGGTGCTTTCCAAGAGCCTTCCCCCCACCATCATATTCCATACTTACTTATTCGTTGTTTCCATCATCCTAACCACATGCCTAGTTCATTATAGCCTCTTGAGATTTCAGCAGTTATGTGTTACCTGGTAACATATTTAATGTGATTAAATAAATAGGGCAATAAAGAATGGGCAGTACATGGAACATTTGCCATTATTCTGATGCTGCACAAGCACATACAAGCCATTTATCTATACACTTGCCTAACCACATTTATGAAATTTACAAATTCTTCACAAACATGCATAGTACTAAGTTCATATCATGGTTGGTTTAACCTTTTGTGTTTGTGACACATGTGTTAATAGAACTCAGAAGGATAACCTGAAACAGTTGGAAGCGCAGGAAGAGCAGCGGCTGATACGGGGCCAAAAGGAATATCTTGACCTTGAAATCCGCAAGTTCCGTAGAAAAAAGTTACTAATTTTCCATAGCCTCGAACAGGAATTGTTACGAGAGGTAAGGACTTCAGGAGGTTTGGTTGGGCTTAATCACTCCGATTTATATCAGCACCTTTGCATGTCACGTGTATTATTCCCTGACATGATATACTAGCAAGCAATGCCGATACTTGAAAGGCAGGAAATTTCTTTACAGTCAAATGAGCTTATGTATTGGCATTGGCAAATCAGTGTAGAATGTTCTTACTGTAATGTAATTGATGATGAGTACTAAATTAAGAACATGAAATAAGCTTAAATCTTTTCAGTTGTATTAATAGCAATGATTGAAAAATTGGTAAACAGTGAGCAAGGAACTTGGACCATGAACCAATTTATGTACTATCAACTGTTTTAGAAAATCTGATGTGCTTATGGTCAAAACTTGAGTGTGTATCACTTGTGAGTTCTGACGTCATTGCCGCAGGAACTGAATAAGCGCCAACAGCAGCTTGAGCAGGCACACTCAATGCTATTGAGGCATCATGAGAAGACTCAGGAGCTGGAATATCGGCAACAAAAGGCAGTTCACCAGTTACGTGAAGAACAGATCCAGCGACAGCATGGCACCGAGCTGCAGAACCAGCAGGACTACATGCAACGTTCAGAGAGGGAACTGCGAAAGAAGCATGCCCTCGAACTGAAGCAGCAGCCAAAGAGTCTCAAGGTGAGATAACACCTATAAGACTCAGGTTCAGATTCTTTCATCATTTCTTGTTTCTTTTTTTCTGAGCATCATGCATGCATGTTACCATGATGGTTCCGTCAGTTTTCCAATAATTGCTCGACATTTTAAGATTTGCCAATAGCTATCAGGAAAGAACAGTTGACGACATATAGGAATGTGGGGGCCGACAAGCTGGAAGTAAAAATGTAGGAAATGTGACTTTTATTAATGTCATTTTAATTGCTCGTCAACTCACAAATGCATGCTGAAGCCAGTTGTTTAGAGCCCATACCTGAATATTCAAAACGTAATAAGTGGTCCTTGGAAGGAACTCCAGCTGAATCAGATACTGCAGAGCACATACATACACACACGAATGAAGAAATTATGCAACTGTTTTTAATTCTGGAAATTAGACTACTAGAGAGTTGGCAGTTGAAAAGGGGAAATGATAGTTAAAATTTTGCAAGGGCACCCTTGGACGCAGTTATTGCATTCTGCCACTGTTACTGTATTCTCAGTATTTATGAAATTACAAGTCAGTTGCCCCATGCTCAGAGATATCTTGTTCATCTTTGAAACAAGTTCCTGAAGCATTTATAGCTATTCCAGTTTCATTGTCTCCACCTTTAAATCTGATTACTGATTTTGCCATAGAAGGTTGCTTATGGTGGACTGGCTATGGTTCCTTGTCCCACTCCCACCCCTTTTCCATCCCACCATGGACCATAAATTCAGCTCTCCAGAAAGTTAACATGCTTCTATCTTTATTTATTGTTTATTTATTTATTTATTTATTATTATTGAACAGTGAAAACAGCACAGTAGCCACGAGCAAACCCTGGACGATATAAAGAACCTCCACTTCAAGATAGCCAGGTGGCACAATATCTGCCCCATATAAGAGAGACGATGGGAGGACGAACACGAGCCTGCATGGTTTACGAATTTTAATCATTGACAATCTAAAAAACTTTTAATAAAAACTTTAAATTAGCATCAAGGAATCTTATACATTTTTAAAACTTACATTCCCAGGAAACTGCTGTCTTTGTGAAACGTTCTATTCTGTGTACTGTGTGTTGTAACATATAAGTGTACATACTTTGCATGTAAACAAATTATGTGATAGTGGTTTCCTATTTGTAGTGATGTTTGCCCTCTGAAGATGGTCCACAGAGACCGAAACATGTAAGGGTGTTAAGTTTTTACGTAGTAAAAAACTTACAGGTCACATTGGATGGAATGATTTATAATTTGTTTATTTAAATGTTCACGTGCACCATATGTCCGAAAACATTTTATCTTACAGGAGTTCTGTTTTCTGGGATATAATGCCATGTAGTCCATTGAAAGTCAACATTTTGGAAGAACATGTCATCTTAATCTTCAGCAAGCCTGCTGACTCTTTCATGTTAGTTCCTTGTTTGGTTTATTCTGTAACACTGAAGATGGATGCCACATGTTCCTCTGAAATGTCACTTGACTTTAGCAGACTACACAATGTTATTTCCCAGAAGGTAGAACTCTTCATAACCACTGCTGTGAGAACCTCATATCCCACATTTTAACATAGTTATCAGTGTATTGATTATTGACAACATATACTGGAAGTTGTAAGGTAAACAATAAAATTATATTCATGTTTCAGCAAAAGGAGATGCAAATCCGAAAACAGTTCCGTGAAACGTGTAAGATACAGACACGCCAGTACAAAGCTCTGAAGGCGCAGATCCTTCAAACAACAGCAAAGGATGAACAAAAGGCGGTGATTAAGAAGTTGAAGGAAGAACAGCGTAGGAAGCTTGCCTTGCTTGGTGACCAGTATGAGCAGAGCATTGCCGAAATGCTTCAGAAACAGTCGGTGAGCAATTCTGATGTCATAAATACCATTTTCTAAAGATTGCTTCTACACCCCTTTGAAATTGATAATGATGGTGTGTTTTTACATTAGAGCTACAGCAGTTTTAGATGTTTTTGATATACCAGAATATATTTTAGTCTGTTAAATTTATGAGGGTAAGTCAATAAGTAAGTTACAAATGGAAATAGAACTTAAACAAATAAGAGTACTGATTTGAAAAATGCTTTTATTTCTCAACATAATCTCCCTGTACATTGAGGCACTTGTCCCATCATTTCACAAGCCCCTGAAAACCAGCAGCAAACAATTGTTTGGGCTGCTGTCAGAACCAAGCGGTGACTTCCCTTTCTACAGCTTCATTGTCGGGAAAATATTCAGCTGAAAGATGATGTTTAAGAGGGCCAAACAAATGGAAGTCACTTGGAGCAAGACTCATCACTAGGGGCCGGATTTTTATGCCCTAATAAAATCTTAAATATATATATGCATTTATGCATGAAAAACTTCTGAAATATGCACTAAAATATACACATAGAAATTTATACCAAATATTAAAATTGATTTTACATTATTTTGAGACCAACAAATCAATATTTAAGATCATTTTATGTAATCACTGAATGATTCACTTGCAATAAAAAGCTATACTTAAATACAAATCATGCAACAAAGCCAACATATTTCATTACAAATTTAAAAAACCAGTGGTACATTTAGCTCTCCAAACTTTCAACGTCTCTTCTGCTGCAGTTCACAATTACTAAATATTTTAGGTTTTCCATAGTTAGTTGCCTCCTATTGTCTCATACGATGTCCTTATGGTAAGAAAACTTATTTCCACCTCACAGGAACTAAGGGGCGTGTGTACAAAAGCTGCTATTTGCTCCACTGTTAGTGATTTTTACTTGGCAGTTCCGTATGTTTACCGGCTAAAATTTCTTCAATTTCACAAATTTGTTCATATCCTGGATTTTTTTAAAGAATGCTGTGTACTTTTTCCTTTACTACTTCACCAGCTCTTCCAGGAACCGAATTCAATTTGGAACTAGTGGTTTTGAACACACTTAACGACTGATACAAAGTAGTATTGCTACTGCTTGCCTCCAGTGAGGAAATAGCGGATGGAAGATGAGAGAAGTGAGCAGATATATAGGAAAGATTAGTTTCTAGTTCTGCATTTTTTAGTACATCTTGGGCAATTTGAATTGATGCTGCACTTTTGGGATCAATGTATTCATGACATTCCTAACTGTTTCTAAATGTTCAGTATAATAACTCGCTGCACACAGCCACATGCCCCAGCGTGTTAAAATTTCTTCTGGCGGAAGTGGAGCACTCGTTGCTACTGCTTTAAAGGCTTCTTTTCTGTACGGCGCTTTAACAGATACCTTTTCACAGAAGACCCCAACTTGTCAACAAGCAGAAAATTTGATTACAGTGCTTGCAGCCAAAAAGGGACACATCATAAGACACAATATACACAAAATATAGGAAGAATGACTCCCATTGTGGAAGAATGACGTAGTATGCAAGTTTGAGTTAAGACGTGTAAGATGATGGACATTAACAAATTTTGATATATATAAATTTCATTATAGTTAGTGAAGAGAGTGCATTTTAGATAATTTTATGAACGACACATGATGGCAAGCAATGCAATAGCTTGACGTAAATAACACACCTGAAGATGGCACAGTGATGCCGAAACATGTAGTGAAGTGACATGTGAGATTGAGTGCACTACAAGACAGCGAATATACATATCATGGACAAGAATCAGTGCAACAGGACGCTAAAATATAATATTATTATTAGAAAATTCACTAAGCAATTTTTAAACAGGAGCACTTTTCGTGGATTTAATTTTAATATTCTCTTTGTGTATATTAGTGTTCAAATGCTGAAGCACTTGAAAGCGTTTTTCACAGCCAACTGTTTTCTGACACGCTCCGCAATAAAGAATTCCGTTATCCATACTTATCATCTCTCCTTTGAACTCCTGCTGATACAGCTGTAATTTGGTTTTCTGGCTTACTTTCACTTTCGGCATGACTACAGATAGCTAAACAAACTTAACTACAGACTAGTCACCACTAATGTGAATGGCCCCTAGCTTCAAATGAAGTGTAACGAACCTCATGGAGACTTCGGAAATAAATAAGTGAAGTCCCTTATCGGTTGAATAGTATTACGTTGATAGCGGCTACATGTGAACGCTTCCGACTGATCTCTTTGCGGCCACTTTGATGGTACGCGGATGAGGCAAGTTACGAGTAGAGAGATCGGGGAAGTCCTGTCCTGGGTATTGCATCAGAAACATGATTCGTGACGAAATGTCGAGTCAAATATGCAACATATTCTAACATGGAAAAGAAAAATTGTATAAACATGACCATGGTTGAAAATTTGAACATAAAATTAAAAAATATGTATGATAAACATTATAAAAAGGAAATATGCAGTATAAATAGAGATCTTCAAAAATATGATGCTTATTCATAAAACAGGCAAAATATGCATTTATATGCACCATCAAACCATGTCCAAAATTTAAGAAATGAAGTAATTCATACATATATCCAAACGAGCATACTTTCTGGTTGCAAGAAAGAAATATGCATTTGCATTAAAATCCGATCCCTACTCATCACCTGTGATAAATCAGGCTAGCATATTGTGTCCATCATGGTAGTGATTGAGATGCTGTAATGCCAGACCCATTCTTTGCATTTTGTGTTGTTGGGTCAGCATGCGCAGCACCCATCGTGCACAGACTTTGTGAAAACCTAACCTGTCATGTGACTTCCATTTGTTTGGCCCTCTTAAGCATCATCTTTCAGCTGAACATTTTCCCAACGATGAAGCTGTAGAAAGGGAAGTCACCGCATGGTTCTGACAGCAGCCCAAAGAATTTTATGCTACTGGTTTTCAGAGGCTTGTGAAACAATGGGACAAGTGCCTCAGTGTACAGGGTGAGAAATAAAAACATTTTTCAAATCAGTACTCATATTTGTTTAAGTTCTATATCCATTTGTAACTTACTTATTGGCTTACCTACATACATAAATGTAAGCATAATGATTTCTAGAAGCCAATATAAAGGTAGGAGGAATTAAAATATCTGCAATAGGCCTGCACCCAAAATAGATAACTGTCGAAAGTCACGTATTGTCTGCAAAGCATGATTGTAAAACACCAACACTTAATGGTGTGTTGTAAATGAAATGAAAGGAAAGGGAATTGTGTGTGTTTGATGGATTATTCTGTCAGTTTGCCTGTCATGTGTTGCAAATGAAAAGAAAGAGAATTGTATGTGGGCTTTATGGATTATTCTGTCACTTTTATATGTAATGTCTCATATTTTATGGAATTTTATTTCTTGTCAGCATATCTGAAAATTTGTGTGATGCAACAGATCCGATTGGACGAGTCACAGGAAGTTCAGTGTCAGAACTTAAAGGAGCGACTACACTATGAACTGGAAATCCTGATGGCATACCAGTCCAAGAACAAGATGCAGGCTGAAGCTCAACGAAATAGAGAGCGCAAGGAACTGGAGGACAGGGTATCTGTCCGAAGGGCATTACTTGAGCAGAAGGTATGGCAGTCATATTTCTAGAGGGTTCTGACAGTGGAGTATAATACTCAAGATTTACTGAGTTTTTAGACTTTGTCCAGTCCAGTATTATAAAAACTAGAAAACACGGCGTTTTGGAAAGTGGATCTCTCTTCCTCCTCACTTGACGGGAGAGACACCTACTCTGTTGGGTCTCTTAGAATGAGGTAACCTCAGTCATTGGACCAGCAAAAGCAAAAGACGACAAGTCTATAATCTGTCCATCCTTCAGCTGGCATCAGAGCATCACATTGACACATTTTCTATTTTTCCACCAATCAGCAGAGATTATTTTAGTTTCTTTGATTATGCAGTGTTAGAAGATTTAAAATTGCTGTCAGTAAGGGTGAGGACACACCAAGGAAATTGGCAACCGCAATGCGACTGCAATTTCTGAGAAATATCGCCAATTTCAAGCTGACAACTGGTTTGCAGAATAGCAGGTGCACACTGAAAAAACTTATGATTGATTAGTTTTTGCATCATCTTAAGTAGGTATGTTCGTCCAACATAATGCATGATTGTTTTTTTTTATTTATTTCATGTGCTTGCCTTCTGCAGTGGAAGATAATAATCTGATCCTGTCATAATATCGTAGTCGTTGAGATGGCATGAGAAGATAGGACAACGACCTTAAGGAAATTATTGGGATGTTAATTTGTTTTAATTAAAGTCAATTAATTTTAATCAGGAAATATTGCGTTCACACACACAATACAAAATTTTGACATGCAGTGCAACAGTTTTAGCAAGATAGAAGACACCTGATAATTGATGTATACAGGCAAACCATGTAATGTTGAAGAAGGGTGACTATATATTTAGTTGCATTTAAGACAGAAATACATGTCAAATAAATGCTATATTAATGCAACAGGATACTTAAATACAGTATTAGGAAAAGGAAACATTTGGTGCATCCATTCTTCTGTGACAGTTTAAACTGAGGTCCTTATATTCTTTATAAATAACTTAACCAGGATCCAGACTCCTTCCCAAGTCAGATTTATTTTGCCCTCCCTAGCATAATCTGGGTGGCATTTGTCATATATACCAGGCTCTTGCCCAATTAATTAACCTGTGCCATCTTAAGAAACAAATGAATCACTGAAGCATGTTATAGATCGGCTGACACTAGGGAACAACTCGACAACACAATTGTGAGAAGACTGGCATGCTGTTAAGTTTCTCAGTCTTTCCATGAGTTGCATTGCCATTTTCTCAATTTTTGCTGCTCCATTCAGTAACATGTGTTCAACTCGGGCTGATAACAATTCTCAGAAATTGTGGTTACCTGTTACATTAGTCATATTGTTCACCCAGTGGTTTGAACCTGTTACATAAGTTCACATCACTTTTTCACCAGTATGGACATGGTGCAGCAAATATTTGTGAGACCTTAAATTATAACAAACTGTCTTACACCCAGGGAGGATATAAAGGTCACAGAAAGGTGCGGTATCCCATTGAGAATAGTGCAGCACTTTGATAAAGGGTGGATGAATGTTAAGAAGAAATTTATTATAGAATGATTTCATTGTATTTGAATTTATTTGTAAACATCATTTGTAATCCTTATGGCAAATAGATATATTAATGAAGCAATTAACAATGATTTTTATTTACTATGGTAACAGATGGAGCTGGAGACGCAGCAGTTTCTTCAGGAGAGGTCAGAGAGAATTCGTTTGCTTCACGAGAGACAAGATCGTGAACTGGAACAGTTTGATGAAGAGTCAGCTAGGCTTGGCTTTAGGTTAGTTCCTTTGATGAAATGTACTACCATATGAATTCAGGATACACCCAGCTCTCATATAACATATATGGGAGGGTGAACAAAATAATGGAAACACTAAGAAATTGAGGAATAAAGTTTTTGTTGGCTACATTGAAAACTTCAGTTGGCACCACTGAACGTTCTTCAGTTTGTTTATACTCTGCAGTGCTCATGTCAGTGACGAATGTGTATAGGATATTGGTGGGAAAGCCAGAGAGAAAGAGACCACTGGGAAGACCAAGGCATAGGTGAGTGGACAATATTAAAATGGATCTTAGAGAAATGGGATGGGTTGGTATGGATTGAATTGATCTGGCTCAGGATAGGGACCAGTGGAGGGCTCTTGTGAACATGGTAATGAACCTTCTGGTTCCATAAAATGCTGGGAAATTCTTGAGTAGCTGCAGAATTGGCAGCTCCTCCAGAAGAGCTCAGCTCCATGAGTGAGTAAGTAAGTAAGTAAGTGCTCATGTCAGTGCATTAGTGATTATGTTGAGTGACACTTGCAACAATAGAAGATTTGTTGGGTGAATTTTCTGTGCTGTCCATGTATCAAAGGAAAGTAGGCAGTTTCACACGGAGCCTCTTTTTGTTCCTGTTTTTAAGTATGCTCAATTAACTGTGAGAACACCATTGGTAATTTTTTATTGTGGAGTACACCCTTTACAGTCTTGTTTGTTTATGACTATGAAAATGGCAGGAATATAACACTTAATTTTTCTGTTACTTGGTTACTAGTTTATAATAATGTTTCAGAGTTCTTCTTTATGTTATTATGTCAACATCATTATCATAAACCAATAGCTGATGTTTTCCATACAATTCCAACCTCTCCCGATTATCTTGGACTTCCCTGATGACATATTCTAAAGTAGTGTTGAAAAGTATTGGAACATTCTGAATAGAAAATTAGTCAATTATTTGTGTTTATAAACTTTACTACAGGTTTTGTGTAAACAGATTCAGTTAAGTACTTTTTGTTATTCTAACCTTTATGGTATACATCCAATTGTATGCCATATGAAAGATACAAGGGTTGGGTAAAAAGTAGTGGCAGCACTGCTGTAACATGAAAGATGTGCATCAGGTGGCACTAGTGCTGTTTGTAGCTGATAGCAGTTCAGTTGAAATAGTACAGTGAGTGGCTCTGGTTGTGTTTCATTGAATTGCATTGTGCATCATCTTGAAGTGCAGTACAAGCACCCTAACATATTTACGAAACAAGAATAACGCTCCTGAATAAAATTTGAAGTTGCACGAGGTCGTAGTGCACAAAGCTGTTATCAGGGACTGCAGGAAGCATGTGGTGATGCTGCTTTGCCATATCGCACAGTGGCATGATGGGTGAAATTGTTCCATGAAGGGAGGGATGCCATTCAGGACAGCCGTCGTTCAGGACAACACCATGTTGACAACCACACAATTCAGCTTCTTGCTTCTTTGCTGGATGTCGATCGTCGATGGACTGCGTGGGAGTTAGCTGCTGAGGTAGGCATATGTCACAGAACCGTGCTCCGCATTCTGCATGATATTCTTGGATACCGCAGCGCATTGGGTACCCCATACAATGTCCGAGGTGCAACAGTGGCAACATTATGCAATTGCACAGGACTTGTTGGACTGGTACCAGAAGGAAGGTGACGACTTCCTTGAAAGGATCGTCACTCTGGACAAAACTTGGACTCGCTCATACAAACCGCACTTGAAGCGACAATCAAATGAATGGAAGCATTTCCTCGTCCAAAGAAAGTGGGCCCTACACAGAATAATGTGAAGGCGAAGTTCATTGTGACATATGACATTGATGGAGTGATACTGCACGACACTGTACCTCAACAACAGACAGTAAATGCTGCCTACTACTTCAATTTCCTGCATAATCATCTTCGTCCATCATGACAATGCAAGGGCTTATACTGCTGACACTGTGAAGGATCTCCTTTGCCGCTGGCGATGGGAGATACTGCAACATCCGCCATACTCACCTGATTATGATCTCTTTGCCAAAATGAAAGAACCACTGCGAGGGACACGTTAAACACAAGAGAGGAGATTATTTGTGCTGTAGGGCGTTCACTGGTGGACATCAACAGAAGTGGACATGCTGATGGTGTACGACGCCTTCCACAAATTTGGCAGAAGGTGGTACACATACACGTGGTGGGTGTATAACGCGACAAATAACTTCACGCCATATTTGATATAGCGAATTTTATTGCACATTCGCTCTTACAATCGCACAATTTACATATTCACAACTACTGCTGTCTGCAGTATTACAATTGCTTGAATGCATAACCTTCCCTGGCCAACTCGTAAGTATGTTTACCTCAGGTAATAAAGTCATTTTAGAACTATAGAGGTGTTGCCACTACTTTTTATCCACCTTTGTATATAATGGGACAGTCTACACAACAATAATTCTGAAAGGGATAAAATAGACACTACTGTGTCAACATTTGTTTTTATTAGCTGCTGGTGGTAATGCTACATGTTTCAACCGTTTTCTTGGGTCATCTTCAGGCATCTGTCATTAGGAGGTATGTTTTTATATAACTTTACTTTCTGTGTTTTAGTGCGTTGGCCATAGCAGAGGCATCCAAAGAGTCATACCCTGACGACGAGAGTCTATCAGGGAGCATGCTGAGCCTGGCACATAGTAACAGCTCAACATCTTTCCCACCAGGGAGTCTCTAGCATTGACGCAGTTCTCCCTGCCCAACCTAACTGCCAACCAAAATAAAGTCATTATAGAAGTATGTGCTGCTGATTGGTGAACTATTTTCCAATCAGCATGCGATCCATAAGAGTTTTTGCCAATTGTTTTGATAAATGGTATTTGCATAACAGTTCGTGCTGCGGGTTTTGGTTACCACCAAAAAGGGCTACAGTAAGGCTTTGGTTCATATAGGTACATACCCGACACGGCTTGTGACATATGTCGCATATTGGTATGACATATCCGTCCTGTATGGATACCCTGACATGCCTGTGATGTATGTATGTGAATACCTGGCTTATCTTGTTAACCATCAGTATTGCTGACTCGTAATTGCTAGCAATACACCTCTACAGCTGGTACCTGGTGTGGGTAACAGGTGGATGTGGTAATTTGTTGTATGTTAATGGATATTTTGCATAGCAGTGGCTAATCCAATGTAAGTCCCACTGTCATTTGGGTGACCAAGCATTGCTCATGTTCTGTTGTGAAATAGCTAATGAAAGTGTTTATTCTGTGGCTAGTTAAGCCTGGCTCACAAGTATGCCCAGAACCTGTTGATGGCGGAGAATGACGTATGGAGCATGTCACCATCTAATGGCCATTCAGATTATTCCTATCCTGTGGGTGCCCTAGGATGGTTCTTGATAAGTTCATTCCCTGTGGCTGATAGAATGTTCATATTCTTTGGTTGTCCTAGAATGGTTTTTGGCCCCTTCACAATTAAATGTTTCAAAAAAATTCAGTTATCTTTCACTCTGACTGCATATAGCAACTCAAGAATAACTGAATAGATTTTCATGATATTTAACACTTCGCGGACCGGTGATTTAAATTTTTAAATCACCCTGGGGACCGGCGTTTTTAAACCTACTACCCTAACTTGTGCACTGTTCATTTTAAAAATTAATATAAAATCTCCTAATTAATTTTATAAACTAAAATTTTTGGCGAAGACTTACCAGAGCTCCTAGAAGTGCTTCAGAGTGTGATATTTCTGGAAACATTCCCCTCTGTGAAGAGGCATGACACAGAACTTGCAGACGTAGGAAGTCTTGCTTCACTTCTTGTGCACAGCGCACACACGGCACTGCCTAGGATACTTCCCTGTCGATTGTTCGCTCATCACAATTTTCACAAGGGTATGTTTCCGCATATCACCTGAGAGTCGCCCAGGGGGGTCCATATGAGGCCTCCGTGGGGTGGGAGTAGATGGTCCCGGTCGTACTACGTCTGTGTCTGATGCAGGTTCTGCCGCCACCGTGAGGTCTGTAGCCCAGGCTTTTGCCACATTCATGAGAAATGCCTTGTATTTCAAAGTTGAATTTTCGTTTAGCTCTTTGAAAACCAAAAATGAATTGAAAAGGGCACAATTTATAAGCCACAAGGCAACTTTCTTCATCCATTTTACTGTTTTCCTAGGAAGGGAATAATAGGCCAAGTATTGGTCGGCTCTATCAACTCCCTTCATGAACATATTGTACTGAGAAATACAAAGAGGCTTCTTCTTCACTTGCCCATGTCGTCTTTGAACATCGACCATGCTCGAATTGTGAATAGTGGAAATCATATTCACAACGCGAGTATCCCTCCAGGACTGAAGAAGAATGTCCCCCTTCCTCCTGAATGTGGTGTCACCACGTTTCAGGGATTTACATTCCTCTTTCAGATCTGGAGGAAGGCCTCTGTTCACCCTAATTGTACCACAAATATGTACTTTCCTTGAAAGTAGGTATTCTGCAGTTGCCACACTGTTATAAAAATTATCTTGATAAACGTGATAATTTTGATCCAGATAGGGATCCAAAATGGAAACAATAGTTTCTTGCAATTTCTTGCCTTCACCGGAATAAATTTCCAATATAGCCTGAAGTGCTTTCTGTGACTACATGAACGAGTAGGTAATACTTTGTGAGTTTCCCAGGATTATACATTCGAAAACGAAGCCTTCCACTCAAAGGAATCACAGATTCGTCCAAAGACAGTTGCTGCTCTGGCTTATAAACTGTCTGAAATTTCTCAACGAAAAAGTCTAATAAGGACTGAATTTTGAAAAGCCTGCCCATTGATTGTGGTTGCAGTTCATTATTATTGAAATGCAAACCACCATATCTGTTCAAATCTCTTACGACTCATGAGTTTGCCGTAAATGGGAATTTCTAAAAATGGATCAGTGGATCAATAGTCTTTCAAATTATCCCTCTTTGTAAACCCCATTAGAATGATTATTGCCAAAAAAAATTCATTTCTGCTGAAGTGACATCCACCCACTTCAACACCTTATAGGTACTGTCGTACGCCTCAGGGTGTTGGAGATAGTATCTGTTGGTCTCCTGACACAACATGTCAAAGAAACTATCTCCAGAAAACAGTTCAGCCACTTCAGACACTTGCGTAGAGTCCGATGGCATTTGTCTCACCCCTGGATCACCAGTAAACTTTCCCAAAGTGGGTGTTTTGTCCACTTTACGCCCATGTGGCTGTCCCCGCAATGCTAGCTCTCGCACTTTCATCGGAGCTCTCAGTGTCACTTTCACTTTCTCTTTTGGTCACAATATTTTGGGGCCCCCTGTCACTGCCACTGACACTGCCTCGCTCTCAGAAGATGAAGCAGTTGGCAAGTCAGATAACTCATCGGAGATCAAATCACAGATTTCTTCTTCTCCGAGAGCTCGCGTGGCCTTCAGCTGCTTTCGTCTCTGAGCCATGTTGACACTGAGAATATCATGCCTCACACATAGAAGCTTCAACTTGAACAAAGGGACTTTTCTTTAGTGTGAAAGGGGAATAGAGAGTGGTCACGTTGCTGACTCGGAAAACAAGCATTCCGAAAGTCAGCTACGCAGTACTTTTACAGACACGTGGCCACCAAAGCGGGGAATAGTGTGTTGCAACATAACGTGTCCTAAAAGCCTAAATCTAGGTGACCGGTCTGCCACGTTTAAAACCCAAATGCCTAGACCTAGGCATCCGGTCCGCAAAGTGTTAATATTGAGGAGTTCTAAATATTTATTGCGGTGAAAAAATGTTTCAAACAGAAGCTGTAGAGAGAAAATAAATGTAAATTCTATGTCCATTGGATTTTTTCCATAAGAGAGTTTTGCAGATAAACAGAAGGAATTGTTATGCCATCTCATTTCAGAAATGTACACTCCAGAGCTGTTACATCATGCATACATTTCTTGACATGTGGGTGTTAATATAATCATCTGGGTTGCACAGAATAGTTTTTAACTGATGGCCAAGAGTGGTTATGCTTTCCCTTATTGCGTGGGATGTGTAGAATGGTTATTAATGCAGATATCTCTTGGTTGGTGATATCTGTAATGGGAGAGTATCCAAATTACAGTATGTCGTGTTCTGTCTGGTATGAGCTGTAACAATATTGCAGATAAATCAAGGTGGGTTGTGATGGTATGTCCCTACTGTGGCAGATAGTGAACCAAAACCGCTTAGACTGTAAAACACCAAAAAATATTGTACAGGAAATCGGTGCAGATTTTATTTTGTAAAAAAAAATTAAAAATCCAGTGAATGGGCTGTAATGAATTTTTTTAATTGTTGGTACTTCTAATCTTATTCTTGCTGGTTGATGATGGCGCTACCAACATGACTAACATTACTGATGATTGACAGCTGTCAAGTGTAAATACAGTGTAGAGTCAGGCTTGTTTGTTTTTCTAGTTTTTTTTTTTTAACTGAGAACCAATAATAAAAGTGCTTAGCATCTTCGGAATTTTAGCGTGTTCAACAGGACAAACCTACATTGTGCTGATTTTACAGCAGCAGTAAGTAAGAAGAAATACCAAGAGTATCAGCGATGTGAAAGAATCGTCAAATTGCAATTAAAGTTATAAAAATCGAATACATGAATTTTTTTATTGTAAACAGATGTGTATTAATGTATCTTATTATATATATTATACAGTAATTAAGTAGTTGAGAAACGTACGAATGGAAGTAAAGAAAGCTTTTGTTTTTTGCGTCGGTGAAAGAGTACAGGTGCATTTTTGTTTTGTTATCTATGTGTCATTGTCATTGCAAATTAATTTTTTTTGCATCCAGTCATTCTGACTTTTTACCCTTCTTCCCTCTTTCCCTCTCTGGGTAATATAGTGGGTAAATTATTGAACTGACCTAGTCCTACCTTGGCGGCATTCCACAAGACAAAGAGCATTGTGCTTGTATTTGAGTTTATTTATTGTGGGTGCCGTTAACATTTGTCATTAATAATAAAACCAATTTGTAAATTATACCAAACACTTACTGCGATATTTATAGGGCCTACTTGTACTCAGCATATGGATGTTATGTTCCTTTAATATTGGTCCAGACACAGGGGTGTGGCACACAACCTTATTTTTCCCACTTTTTTATTTTTTTATATTTGCAAAACAGAATACAAACCCATTGTTCAGCTTTTCTCCTTCAGTCCATTCATGTTGCTTTTCACCTTTATACCAGAACCATAAATTTGCATTTTACTTGTATTATTGACAATTTCTGGGTGATATTCATGGTTGTTTGTACACATGAAGCAGCAAGGAGATATTATGTGGGTTGAAGCAAATTCTTGATTGTCTGTGCTCATGGCTGTGGAAGAACATGTTGGACCAAAGATGTCTACCGGTGTCTTCATATATGTAAGTGCTGTGTGCATTATGGCAGGAAATTGGTGGAGGACAGATTATGTTTACTATGACACAATACCATACTTATGTAAATTCACAGCATTAATTTACATGCACCTACTTTTCAGAAAGTAAAATTATGTGTAAAAAGTTAGGATATGTTCATGATTATGTTCCTTACTTTAGTTTTGTTTCAGTCAAATACCTTGTTCCCTTACTAGTACAGAAAAGGATCGAGTGTAATTACGGTTTTTAAGCATTTTAGATTGTTGTCTTTTGGGAAGTGAAACTGTTTGGTGTGGTAGATTAATGCCATCATTTTGGAGGGATGGCTGACCTAATCCCAGGATAGAACTACTCTTCTACCCTGCAAATGAAACCAGCATATTCTTCTGAAATATCAGTAACAATCTAACAGAGTGCATAGTGTCACATCACAGGAAATAGTATTTTCATAGTTATTGCCATGAAAACCTCAAATATCAAAAATATATTTCACATGTCTTCAGCTTATTCAGATTTTTGAGTTGGCTCGTCAGGCTAGAATGTGGTCGCAAAAGTAGTACATATAGTACATACATTCCTCGACAGTATACTTGAGGATGCAACAGACGTCGGAAATTGAATTATGGACGTGTTGAATGCTGTTCAAGAAGAGTTTGGGACCTACAGGAATATGTCTAGGAAACAAGTTGTTTATCAATTGGAAACAGGCATGTACAAACTTGTGCCATGAGTTTCTGTAAGTATGGTATTTTGTAGAAGGGTCATATTTATTTCAATCCATACCTTTTATTTTATCTGTGTATAAACCACTCAGAAGACTCGATCATCATGACACCTCATTATTGGCCATAAGTTATGTATGTTCATGTATTCAAGACAAAGCAATTGTTTTTGAAGTTAGTCTGTCATGTGTAGTTGGGAACCATTTATAAAGATTACACTTTTAATTTATTTTTTGCTAAATTGCCTTCTGAGAAAATATTAAGTTGTAAGATAGAGACAAGTGATTATCAGAACATTAGGAAAGAACACAAAAAAATGTAAAGGCATGAAATTTCCATCCTGCTGTCTTCAGCGGCTGAAAATACATTTTACAGGGTTCATATTTCAAATGGTCTATGTGAATGTACAGTTTAACCCCCATTTAGCCTTCAGTTTCAGGAACTCCCATTCAGTATTCCTTGATTTTATATATTCTCTTGTTTGACATATAGTTTCAGTAACCCCAAATTGGCAGTCTTTTTAT